CACATCTTGAGTAAAACAGCTGATGGTGGTTCGAACAGGATGACTGTGGTGCAAGAACAGCTGGACCATGGTGCAGCAGCAGCTGTGATGCAGGCAGCAGCAGCTGTGGCAGCAGCAGTGACTGTAGAGCAGCCCAGCTGACAAGGTGCTGCAGCAACAGCTGACTGGTCCAGACCAGCTGATGGTGGCGCAGCAGCAGTGACTGTGGAACGTTAGTATTTCTCACCTTTTTACCACAGGGAGCCTTGGCACTAGAAGCTTTCTTGGGGCCCATGGTCACGTATTTTTGCAGGTGTGTAATCACTAAAAATGCGTGTGATAATATGAAATGTTCCAATTGTATGCTTGGATGTGACCGCGGTGCTGGCTTGTAGACACTCCACCCCGGAACAAGTGAGGCTGGCTTAGGCCACACTTAGACGCATTCTCGGAACGAATCGGTTGAGCGAGTTTTTATCGCTAGGGAGGCAAATTTTTTGTGGTAAAATGTATCGCTAGAGGAATTTAACGTTATGTGATGCCATCGTTTAAGAGAGGGTCCACTGTATCATGTTTTTGAGTAGGGAAATGTCTATTTATGTGAATATTTTTTTTTAACCCCTCAGGGTCCAGCCAAAAATCTTTAGTGTGCTCCAGTGACCATTGAAATTTGGAAAAAAAACAAAAAAAAATATTTTTTCTTACAGATTTAATTAAGAGCATAAATTTTGTGAAGGTAATTAGACAAAAAAATTCTGCTCAGTACTTTACTGAGATACAGAGCCGAGAAGTTTGTCCAAAAAAATGATCGTGGTGGCGGCAACATCGATCGAATGTCCACATACACGCATTACTTTATTTAGCAGTTTTTGTAGTTTTTTCTTCTCTTTTCCAATTTTTTTCTTTTCCTACTAACATTTGGGGCCTGAGAGACCAATACTGTATATAATGTATATATATATAAACTCACTGTATTGAACACAATAACCGCACTAAAGTTATCATCATATTATTGTTTACCACTGTTGTTTATTACAATAACATGCACAAATCTTGTATAATACTAATGTTCTATCATATATTTACATATTTACAATCACTGGACATGGTTTTAGAACTGCTGGAGCTTGTGGAACTCCTTGAAACAAGGCACCATGCACAGAGGTACCTTACATTCCTCACACATAAACCGAGTGATTTTGCGTCTTTGTTGCCATCGTTTTGTTTGTGCACAGACGATGCATCTCTTCTGAGCAAATTTCTTCTGAGTTGAAGGAAGCTGTATTATGAAATGATCACCTTCCCTCCTCAAACGCTTGGGTATATCCTGAGGAATTCGAGGACCTTGTTGTATAGCAGGTGTTCTTACCTGGCACTTCATTATGATTTGTCTGACAACAAACAAAATTCACCATACGGTGGTCTGTTGCCAGTCTTTATTTGGTACATATTATATGCATTGAGCATTGAAATGTCCATGAGATGGAAGAAAAGTTTCATGTACCACTTGTAACTTTTACGAACACAATCAACAAAACCAATCTGCATGTCACATTTGTCAACCAAGCGCATGTTTTGTGTATAATCAATCACTGTCACTGGTTTTCGAATACGTTCATTAGTCACTCGATCAACTTTGCCACTGTCTTGCATTTCATTACGGTGAATGGTTGTCAACAATGTGACATCTCGATTGCCATGCCACCATAATGCCATGATGTCATTGGCAGTAAACACCTGCACGTCATCACCACGAGCACCTGCATTGAGCCTGGGCATATGTTTACGATTAGAACGCACTGTGCCACACACATCTGTCTTGTTCACTTGCAAGAAATCACTGAGTAATGGGCTTGTGTACCAGTTATCAGTATATAATGTATGCCCCTTACCAAGATAAGGTGCCATCATGTTTCTCACTACGTCACCTGAGATACCAAATAACATCTTTGTATCTTTCAATGTTTTACTTCCCGTGTATACAACAATATCCAACGCCAAGCCACTGTCACAGTCACAGAGTACAAACAGTTTTATACCAAAGCGTTTCCTCTTGCTCGGTATATACTGCTTGAATGACAGCCTACCTTTGAACAAAATCAAAGACTCGTCAATTACAAGATTCTTGAATGGATAAAAGTATATGCTGAACTTTTGTTTGAGATACATAAAAACATTTCTAATCTTGTATAACCTGTCACTTCTGTCAGGCCTGGTTTTGTCAGAGAAGTGCAACATATGTAACAGAAAGATAAACCTGTTCACTGGGATGATTTCACTGAAGACCGGGTAGAAATTAGCCAATCTGTGGACCAGTATGCTTTTATATTATGCTTATAGACATGAGGCATAAGCATTATTGTTGCAAAAAGCAAATACATTTCTGCAACAGTCGTCACTTTCCACTGGTGTAGTCTTGACTGTGGTGATATGATCGTATTTGCCATGGTGTACTCAAAATACTTAATACTTTCCCTGACAATAGTTTCCATCAATGGCTGGTCAAAGAATAATTCAAAGAATTTCAGTTCATTGGCCGTGGTTCCAAGGGGACAAGTAGGTAGAGTTCCACTTTGAGAGTCATCAAAGTGGTGGGGCTTGGGAACAAAATGGGATTTTGCTGCCAATCCCAGATACGGTTTGCTGGTGGATACTGGACATCAAAGGTTGGTTGTGCGGGTAGTTGTGGTTGTGGTGGGCTGGTGGCTGACGCTCCGCTTTGCCCTTGAACTGAGGAGTCAGCAGCGTGGGTCCCAGCCTGGGCCGGTGAGTCACGCATGGCGGTGCCACTACCACCATCTGCTGATGCCTGTGGTCTATCCATGCCAAGTGTAGCCACATCATCCTCACTATCACTATCTAAACCTGGTGTAGGGCCACGGGATGTACTCCGGGATGTACTCCGTCCCCTGGGCACAGCATAGGGTACACTACCTGAGCGCATGCGGTGGCATACATACCGGCGCTTCACTGGTGAATATGATTCCTCACTATCACTACTCGAATGATCGTCAAGAGCAATAAAATCACAATCCATGTCACTATCATCATCATTACTGTAGTAAGAGGCCTGGCCACGCAAAAATAATAGTTTTATCTTGCATTGAGGTACAACTGACCGTGACTGAGGTGTGCCCACACCAGAGGTAGAACGTTGAGGATCGTCAGGGTTTTCTGCACTATTATCGATATCCTGGTCATTCCTTTCGGTCACTAACTGATCAAAGCCAAAGAATTCGTCTTCATTTCCACTTCCATCAGTGTCAGAACTATCAGATAGGAAGAGGAGAATCCCAATTTTCTGTGGAGTGAGAGCTGACTTGCGACGAGGCATGGTGAACAAGGGTAACTGAGCTGGCGCTCACACAATGCTATGCGGGAGCCTAGATTTTTTGTTTATGGCGTGCACCCACCATGCAGACCCATTCTCTCACATGTAGGCCTATGAGCGCTTTTGCGCTAAATTTGACGGTGCTAGAATTTTGGCATAGATCTACGGTTTGGACACTCAACATGAAGCCGTAGATCTACGGGATGGACCCTGAAAGGGTTAATGCTTTTGGGTGTCTAGAACGGATTAATTGGATTTCCATTATTTCTTATGGGGAAAATTAATTTGGCTAACGATAAATTTGGCTAAGGACAAGCTCTCTGCAACAGATTAAAATAGTTGGTCAAGGGTCCACTGTACAAGTTATAAAGGCCTAGCTGACATCAGTCACATAAGAACATAAGAATGTAGGAACACCGCAGAAGGCCTACTGGCCCATGCGAGGCAGGTCCTTATCAAAACGACCTCTACCTAAAGCTACCCAAAAAATAACTCCCTTCCCAATGACACCACTCAAACCCAGCCCCTCCCACTCATATATTTGTCCAGTCTCTTCTTAAAGCTACCCAAGGTCCTATCCTCTACACCCCACTGGGAAGACTGTTCCATGCATCTACAATTCTGTTAGAAAACCAGTACTTACCTATGTCCTTTTTAAATCTAAATTTATCCAACTTAAATCCATTATTTCTGGTTCTTACCTGGTCCGACACCCTCAGTACTTTATTAATATCTCCCTTGTTTATGCCCATCATCCACTTATACTATATAGAAAGCTGCTATACACAGCATTTCAGGCAAATTAGGTCAATTTTGTCCCAGGATGCAACCCACACCAGTCGACTAACACCCAGGTACCCATTATTACTGATGGGTGAACATAGGCCACCGGTGTAACACATGCAATGTTTCCACCTCTTTGCTAGGAATTGAACCCGGACCCTCAACATGTGAAGTGAGAGCTTTTCCCACCAGGCCATGGAGTACACTAACATGATTTCTAACTTGTATGAATTCTTTTATGATTTATTTACTAAATTAGATGAATGGAAAAACTTTTTTATGTATGTTGAAAACTGATATCTCTCTCCAGTATGACTTCTGATGTGTCATACCACACTTGAATTTTCATTCAAGTCATTCTGAATACTGATATGGTTTCTCTCCAGTATGAGTCCTCATGTGACTCACTAAATTTGATTTTCCAGAAAAGTTTTTCAGGCATTCTGAACATTGATACGCTTGCTCTTCATGGTACTCTGCCTTGACAAAAAAACTGAAAGATAGACTGCAAATCACCCAGAACAAAATCGTAAGATTCATCCTGGGGCTGGGACCAAGAGAACATGTAGGCCAGGATGAATTACAGCAGTTGGATATGCTGAATGTTGAAGACAGAGTAAAACAACTGAAGCTAAATCATGTTTATAAAATTGCTCACGAACAGTGTCCAGAATATCTTGCTGTCAATTTTGTCAAGGTTGGGAACCAAAGCAATCATAGTACTAGGGGGAGAGAGCACAACTTTGTAGTACCCACAGTCAGTGGCCAGGCGTCAAACACCTTTTATTGTACAGCAATAAAGGAAGGGAAAACAGATACCCGCACATCCCAAAGCCAGTAAATAGCATGAACCAGTTCAAGAGACTGCCAAAAAGTGTCTGATGAATGAAGCTACAGAAAGGGGGGGAATGATTTTCTATTTTTTAGCTAACATACGTGTAAATTTTACCTTTTTCCTAGTAATGACCCTCGTATTGTAGATAGTCTTAATGACCCTCGTGTAGTAGATAGTCTTTTTAGTATGATAATAAGATGTTATCTTCATTGTAGAATAATAAGAAAATATTATAACCTTTATATTATAATAATAAGGTAAAAGGACCCCAATGGAAATAAGTCACTCTGTCTGACTTTTTTGGGTTATCCTAGGTTCTCTACACATATGCTGCTATGTATGATAATTCTATGTAACTGTATTTGTGTATACCTGAATAAATTTACTTACTTACTTACTATTCTCTCCAGTATGAGTTCTAATGTGTCTTACTAAACCTTTTCTAGAAGAAAAGTCTTTTAGACATTCTGAACACTGATATGGTTTCTCTCCAGTATGAGTCCTCATGTGACTCACTAAATTTGATTTTCCAGAAAAGTTTTTCAGGCATTCTGAACACTGATATGATTTCACTCCAGTATGAGTTCTAATGTGTCTTACTAAACCATTTCTATAAGGAAAGTCTTTTAGACATTCTGAACACTGATATGGTTTCTCTCCAGTATGAGTTCTCATGTGAGTAACTAAATTTGATTTTTGATTAAAGTCTTTTAGACATTCTGAACACTGATATGGTTTCTCACCAGTATGAGTTCTCATGTGTCTCACTAAAATCTTTCTATAAGAAAAGTCTTTTAGACATTCTGGACACTGATATGGTTTCTCTCTAGAATGAGTTCTCATGTGACTAACTAAATATGATTTTTGACAAAAGTCTTTTAGACATTCAAGACAGTGATATGGTTTCCCACCAGTATGAGTTCTCATGTGTCTCACTAAATCCATTCTATAAGAAAAGTCTTTTAGACATTCTGAACACTGATACGGTTTCTCTCTAGTATGAGTTCTCATGTGACTTATAAAACTTGATTTTCTAGAAAAATTTTTCATACATTCTGAACACTGATATGGTTTCTCTCCAGTATGAGTTCTTATGTGTGTTACTAAATGAGATTTCTCAGAAAAGTTTTTCAGACATTCTGAACACTGATATGGTTTCTCTCCAGTATGAGTTCTCATGTGACTAACTAAATTTGATTTACTAGAAAAGTTTTTCAGGCATTCTGAACACTGATATGGTTTCTCTCCAGTATGAGTTCTCATGTGACAAACTAAATTTGATTTTCTAGAAAAGTTTTTCAGGCATTCTGAACACTGATATGGTTTCTCTCCAGTATGAGTTCTCATGTGTCTTACTAAACGAGATTTCTCAGAAAAGTTTTTCAGACATTCTGGACACTGATATGGTTGCTCTCCGGTATGAGCTTCCATGTGACTTACTAAATTTGTTTTCCAGGAAAGTCTTTTAGACATTCTGAACATTGATATGGTTTTTGTTCATTATGAGTTCTCATATGTTATACTAAATTCTGTTGTTGAGAAATCTCTTTTACACACTTTTTTTTTTTTGTCCATCATAAATCTGGCCAGAGATACACAGTGAGGTGGTTGCAAGGAAGACTGTTTTAGTGAGTGTATATGTTGATATAATGTGTCTCCTTCATGAACAACTGTACATTGTATTGCTTCAACACACTTATTTTTCAAGTATTTTAGACATAGTGAATGATAATATTCTCACATTAATTGAATTGCTTAAGTAGAAAAATAATATTTGTGTAATATTTTATTATTATATATATAATAAGCACTAAAGCTGTGAAAGTAATACAGTATCTGAGGAATATGAAGCGAGACACTAGGAGATATTTCAGTTTATGACACATTAACCTTATGGCACTGTTGTTAGCCCTGTAAATGTTTTATTACCAAAACTGTTGTTACATTATTGTGACTATTAACACTATAATTATTATAAACACTGTTGTATTTTCACTATTTTAACATTGATGTGTTGTCACTGCATTAACACTAAAGTGTCACTGCATTAATACTGTAGTGTTGTCACTGTATTATTTACACTAAAGTGTTGTTACTGAGTTAATATCACTGTAGTTTTGTGTTGTCTCTTGATTATTAACATTCTAGGTAAAACTGTCACTGTATAATTACTTGTAAATAGTGTTGTCACTGTATTATTCACTCTATAGTTATTGTACTGTTATTAACAATGTAGTTAGTGCTGCCATTATATTACCAACATTGTAGTTAGTGCTGTAACTTCATATTAAAGAATTTACAGGACATTTCTACCACTGATATTGGCACTACAAGTGCCATCATGACCTGCAATACTGATGCAAGTGTCAGGAAGACCTGCAATATTGATACTACATGTGCCAACCTCTTGCACCAAGATAACATGTAGTACTGATGCTACAAGTTCCTGTGTCTTGGCTTCTTGTTCCACAGTAACTTGGAGTAATGTCAGGATGACCTGCAGTGCAGACACTACAAGTACTAGCTTCCTGTACCAAGATCATATGCAGAACTGACATTACAAGTACCAGCCTCTTGTTCCAGGATGATCTGCAGTATTGACACTACAAGTGTCAGCCTCTTGTACCAGGATGATCTACAGTAATGACACTACAAATGCCAGTATCGGGTGCCAGGATCATCTGAAAAAAATTATATAATTTTTTTTTATCACATCAGTCATTTTCCACCAAGGCAAGATGACCCTACAGAATTGCTTACACAACAGTTAACCCTTTGACTGTTTCGGTCATATACATGTCTTACAAGCCACCGTGTTTGACATACTAATACGCCAAAATTCTAGCGGATTCAAATCAAGCAGGAGAAAGCTGGTTGTCCCACATCTGAGAGAATGGTCAGTGTGCACCATATAAAAAAATCGAGGAGCCAGTGGTGCACTGTGGGAATGCCATTTCAGTAGTCCTTGTTCATCATGCCTAGCGGTAGAAATATCTGACTCCCCAGCAAATCTGGGACTCTTCTCTTCCCAAGTGATGCTCTAACACAGATGGAAGTGTCGGTGAAGATCAATTTCATGGTTTTGAGGACTTTGTGACCAAAAGCATTGCCCAGGATACCAGAAAAAATGAAGGAGAATGAAGGAGAATGAGAGAGTGAGTGAGAGAGAATGAGAGAATGAGGGAGAGAATGAGGGAGAGAATGAAGGAGAGAATGAGGGAGAGAATGAAGGAGAAAGATACAGTAATTAGGTAGGAGGATGGAGGAGAAGCGATCATCGGACCCCATTGTTTTGACAGGTGGTAGGGGGAGTGAGTAATGATACAATATGTTATTTTGACAGCTGGTGGAGACACAGACGCTCACACACTACACAAGCTTACTGAAGATAATGCCAGTTACTATATGAAAGTGTCCAGTGACTATATATGTGTATATATATTATAGAACAATAGTAATAAAAAAAATTTTGTATTGTTTGTTTGTGTAAACAAATTTTGTAAACAATATATTGATAATTATGTTTGTGAACTTATTGTGTTGTATACAACAAGTTTATATATATATGTACATTACACCTTACTTTGGCCTCACAGGTCACATAAGTTACTGGAAAAAATAAGTAGTGGAAAAAGAAAGATACCTTTGAATGGGAGTAAAAAAAAAGTTTACCGGGTGAGCGGCATTCACCGCTGTTGCCATACGTGACTCATTTTCTGCCAACTTTATGCATCTATACCTCGGTAAGTACCAATGGCAAAAAAAATTTGGGGAGCTTTAAACAATCAGAAAAATAATCTCAACATTTTCATAAGAAAAAATCATTTATTTTTTTTTTAAATATTTTTTGACACCAGGAGACACTTCAGGATTTGGGGTTTCGACATCAAAGGGTTAAAGAGCTGCAACATATCAATACCAATCCTTCAGAGTACAGGTAATGTACTTCCCACCTCCACAACTCAAGCCTGGCCTGTCAATTTCCCTAAATCTCTTCATAAATATTACCTTGCTCACACTCCAACATGTCAAGTCATAAAAACCATTTATCACTATCTGCTCCAAACATCCTCATGCATGCTTACTGTAAGTCCAAGCCCCTCACACACAAAACCTCCTTGTCCCTCCAACCCTTCCTACACCAGCCAGTTCCCCACCTTCCTGCCACTACAGATTTACACACTCTCGAAATCATTCTATTTCGTTCCATCTCTTTCAATGTCTGAACCACTTCAACAACCCCACCAGAGCTCTCTGCATAATACTTTTAGAAACTTTGCACCTCCTCCTAATTTCTAAACTACAAATTCTCTAAATTATGTTCACACTGCACATTGCCCTCTGACACATATCCACTGCTTCCAGCCTTTGCCATGTTGCAACACTCACCACCCATGCTTCACACCCCCATAAGAGTGTTGGTATATATATACATACTCTCTTCACTTAGCAACGTACTCATTTACTGACACCTTCGACTAATAACAGGCTCTCTGACCAGTATTTGTACAGTGGGCCCTCACATTTAGGCGGTTGCGGCTTTCATGAAATCCAACTTTCGGCAACTTTTTATGTTAAAATGTAGCCGCGTGGTTCGTGATTGGCCTTGTGATTTGGCGACTGTCTGGTATGAGTCTGAGCAGCATCCCAGCATCAAAGTGCACACAAAGCCAGTCTCCTACACAATTCACACTCAGTGTGCCATTGTTCATCACGAATGACCATCATCGCACTCATTCATACGATACATTTCGTAATATTCCATTCTTTTTTTGTGCTCCCAACTGTTAAGTCAACCTGGGCACAAAGAAATTAACCCCTAAACAGTCAAAACGTATATATACGTTCACTAGCGCAGCGCCCCGAATATTTGAAAAAAAAATATTTTTTTTTATATAAAAATAAAGAGCCCATTCTTATAAGTGTTTTAGCATAAAAAAAAATTTAGGGTAAGTACTTACTGAGATATGAGGCTGTGAAGTTAGCACTTGGCGATCACCTGATGGCAACATGAAGCACTGCCGCTTGAAGAAATTCTACATATTTACCATTTTCTTCCATTTTTTTTAATTTTCTTGGTTTTCATGATATGATAATTATGTTTTATAGTAACTGATTTGATATCAATGCCAATTTTTGTTTATACACCAATATTATATACGAAATTATTATCATGTTGTCATAAACACACATGTACACACTGACAGGTGATTTTGCACACCTCACTGAATCATATTCTACTATCTACAATTATATGCAAGTATTTACATGTCCCACTTATGTTTCAAGAACTCCACAATTGTATGATACTCCATGAAGCATTGATTCATACAGAGTGCCACTCCACACTGGTGAAAATGAATCGTGTGTCCTTCCGCTGTTGGGGTCGTTTTCTGGTGGTAGCACACACAAAACACTTTTTCTGGGCATTCTTCTTCTTTTGTGTAGGTGGTATTGGTACCAAATAGTGACAGTTAGGAGTGATTCGGTCTGGCACACACCCCTCTGGCTGTGGTTGGGGGACAGGTTGTGGTGTGACAGGTCGCTGTTGAGGGGCAGGTACAGGTGTGGTACCATACTTTCTTGCTATCTGTTTGACAAGATTCAGAGAGAAATCTGCAAAATGTTGTTGTTTTCCAGTCTTTATTTCGTACATATTGAAGGCATTGAGCACTGCAATGTCTACAAGGTGAAAAAACAGTTTTATTTACCACTTGCAACTCCTGCGCAGACAGTCAACAAACCCTATCATCATGTCACACTTGTCAACTAGTCGCATATTGTTCATATAGTCCACGACAGCAGCTGGCTTTACAATAGGTTCTTTGAACTTGCTCAGTCTGTTTGTACCATCTCATTTCTGTGGATGGTTGACAGCAATGTCACGTCCTATTTGTCATGCCACGTCAGTGCCATGATGTCATTAGCATGAAACACTTGCACTTCACCTTCAACACTGCCTCCAGTGAACCTTGGCATATGTTTCCTATCCCTTCTCACTCTTCCACATATATCTGTATTGTTCACATGTAGGAAATCAGCGAGCCTAGGGCTTGTATACCAGTTGTCTGTGAAAACCATACCACGGGCGGGATTGAACCCGCGGTCAGAAAGTCTCAAAACTCCAGACTGTCGCGTTAGCCACTGGACCAGCTAGCCACAATAAGATTCGTCCAACTAGGTATATTTCTACACCATAGGAAGGTTAGCATAGGCACCACTGTGACCACAAATGAAAGTTTTTACAGACGAATCTCCAGCTAGCATGGCCGTGACAAACTCTAGCTCAAGTCCCCTCAATGCCGTCAACATGACTCACGAAATCGTAATGACACGATTGCAAACAAACCATACCATGGGCGGGATTGAACCTAGTTGGACGAATCTTATTGTGGCTAGCTGGTCTAGTGGCTAACATGATGGTCTGGAGTTTTGAGACTCACTGACCGCGGGTTCAATCGCGCCCATGGTATGGTTTGTTTGCAATCGTGTCATTACGATTTCGTGAGTCATGTTGACGGCATTGAGGGGACTTGAGCTAGAGTTTGTCACGGCCATGCTAGCTGGAGATTTGTCTGTAAAAACTTTCATTTGTGGTCACAGTGGTGCCTATGCTAACCTTCCTATGGTGTAGAAATATACCTAGATAGACAAATCTTTTTGTGGCTAGCTGGTCCAGTGGCTAATGTGACGGTCTGGAGTTTTGAGACTCTCTGACCGCAGGTTCAATCCCGCCCGTGGTATGGTTTGTTTGCAATCGTGTCATTACAATTTCGTGAGTCTTGTCTGTGTACAATGTATGGCCCTTGCCAAGGAATGGTTCCATCATCCTGCGAACAACATCACCAGAAATGCCCAACATCCATCTGTCATCATCGAGTGTTTTTTTTCCCGGTGTATACAATTACATCCAACAGAAGACCACTCTCACAGTCACACATAACAAAAAGTTTTATATCAAAGCAATTACATTTGCTCGCTATTTATTGCTTGAATGACAGGCGTCCCTTGAACAGAATCAAGGACTCATCAACAAAAATGTTTTTGAATGGATAAAAGTATACACTGAATTTCTGCTTCAAATACATAAACACTTCCCGGATTTTGTATAGAAGGCCATTTCTGTTTGGCATTTTCTGTCTGAGAAGTGCAACATTTGTAGCAACAGAGTGAATCTGTTGCAGAGGAGGAGGTCACGGAAAACTGGAGTGCTGATGAAGTGGTCTGTAGACCAGTAATTACATTATTGTTTCTTATAGATATGTGGCATAAGCATGACAGTGCCAAAGAATAAATACATTCAGCACTGTTGTGTTCTTTCCACCTGTGCAGCCATGACGATTCTCCAACCTCTGCTGTGTTGTTCATGACATATGGTAATAATTATTTGTCTGGGTCACTATCAAGTTCATTATAGGCTCATCAAAGTACAACTGGAAATAGTCTAACTCTGTAGACTCATTCATTATGGGACATTCTGGCAGGATACCACTTCCACTAGCATCAATATCACAAGGCTGTGGCACGAATATACTTTGTGTCAAGTTCCACTCACGATCACATGGTGCAGGGTGGACCTGTGGCATGGGGCTAGGGGGAGCAGGAGGATGGACAGGAGTGGAGGCAGCACATGGTTGTGGGGACACCGGGCGGTCCTTTGTCTGTCCACCCACTTCGCCAT